TTGGGCAATGCAGGGAAATTGACATGTATGTAAGGCATCAACAAGATTCCAGAAAAATGTAGTTGACTCTAGTAACCCATTGACTTTGTCTGTGGTGATACTACTGGCCACCCCATCAGTTCCTAGTGGGCCTCAGCTACCACTGAACATCAGTTGCTTCCATCATTACAATATTGTGGCCCTTTCACTTCTTCTGCCATGTTACTGACACTTCTACCTGCTCCTTCTCTATCACTGGTGTAGTTTGTGCCAGCAAATAAGATCTTAGCCCAAGGATCTAAATGCTAAATGATGCTCCCTCGGCAGCACTCTTCTTCAATCCCCTCTAGAGCAGTTTTTAGTGTTTTCTATAGCATATGGGTAGGAATGAGGAATGGGGGACTGCCTTCCCAATTATGCCTCCATGAACAGAATCTGCTTCCATCAACAGCAACTGTGGAAATTGTCCCAGGAATCTAACATTATGAATAGAGATATTTATAAATCACTAATTGGATTGCACTGATAACAGATCTGGCACACTAACCTAGGGATGATATCCATGCTAGTAATTTTAACAATTTTTCCTACTGTAAGAGAGTCCTTGAGAACTATGCAGTTTTTGAAGACAATTTGCAGCTCAGGAATTATTCTATACAAAATTCATATGTGGTAATTTGGCAGAAAAAACAACACTTTATGTACAGGAAACAAAATTTTCTGCCTAAAAAGTTGCTGTTTCCTGCATGCAAAATCCTGTAGCTGGGGGGTTATTCTGTGCAAAATCTACACATGCTTTTTTTTTTTTGGCATGAAAACAGTGTTTTTAAAGATATTCTGGGGGATGCTAATCTTCCTTCAACAATATTTTCATTTATATAAAATGAAATTGTTGTCTCTGTGCAAAATCCTCTTGTGCAAACTTTTCTGCAGAATAAGGTCTGAACTGTAAAGATACTCCTTGTGTGTTTCCCAGCACTTGAAGAACATGGATTTTTTTTTTACCATTTTTAATTTGTTTTAAATATTCTTTCCATCTGTAATTCAACCTGTCATGTGGTAGCTGAAGAAAATAGTAAAGCACTGAAAACTAGATGTCACATATGAATGCTTGTGGCTGTTATAAAAGGTGATCTAAAGTTCCGCAAACACATATTGCCTCCTGCACACTGGATAAAACTTTATAGAGCTAGAAACACAAAGTCATAACTTATAGATTTTAACCATATACACTTTTTTGCTATATATGTTTTCATTTGCTACAGGAGAAAAAAGTGGGATTGCTCAGATCCATCCCCCAACTTGCACATATGGTGTTCAGCTGAAAAAACTCAGCAAATACAGAAGGCTTTTCTCAGCCAACTACTGGAACAATCCAAGAAGGAGAATTAAATAACTGGATTTCAAGAAATGTCACTGTTCTTTGCAAGGTATTCCACTGAGGTATCCACCCTGACTGTTAACATTTATCAGGCAATGACTGGTAAACTTTTCTGACATTGCAAATCGCACACAGAAACCCAGGATCCATGCAAGCAGTACCCTTCACACAAGCAGTTGCAATTACAGAGGAGAACTATGTGCAAGAAATCTGGTTCACCATGTAGTTCATCCCAGTCAAACCAAAATGATCACAGTTGGCTGGAACCATTTGGGGCCACTGGGCTACATCATTTGGTTTTCATGAACTACTATTCCTTCTCTTTCTCCTCCTCCTCCTTCTTCAGATGCCTCTCCCTATGGATCAAGCCAGGGAACAATACCAAATAACACAACACATCAGTTAAAAGTGCATCCAAAACCAATACATATAAAAATACAATACATATCCATCAATAAATAGTTTAAAAACCATAATTCAAAATTAATCTGAATAGATCTGCTGGAAGACATTGGTCTGACAGTCTATCGCACTGACAAATCTCTTTTGGCAAGTTATTCCACAGTCTGGGTGTGGCTAACAAAACTGTCATCTGGATAATAGTTAGCCCAGTTTTGGCTGACTGAAATAGATGTCTTCCAGAGGACCTCAGTGTATGTGGTGAATTATATGGGAGAAAGTGACCCCGTAGGTAACCAAACCATGTAGGGCTTTAAAGGGAATAACCAACCCTTTGTACTTTGACCAAAAACTAATTGGCAGCCAGTGGAGTGATTTTAATATTGGTTTAATGTGCTCATGCCTGGACGTCCCAGTAATCAATCTAGCTGCCATGTTTAGAATTAATGGAAGTTTCTAAACTTGGTATAGAGGTAGCCCAATGCACAACACATTGCAGGAGTCCAGCCTTGAGGTTACCAGTGTGTGCACTACCATCTTTAAGTCCTCTGGTTCTAGGAAGGAGTGTGGCCAGGGTAACAGCCAGAGTTATTAACAATCACATGGTTCATAATGATTGTCCCATGATAATTATGGCCATGTAAAATGTTGCAAGATATCATTTCATTGGTAACTTGCTTCTAGTCTGAATTCAAGGTTCTGGCGAGGACATTTAAAGCTTCAAGTGTCTTGGGACCTTGATATCTGAAAGTGTGTCTCTCCTTTTATATACCTGCCCAAGAATTCATGTCTGTAGGAGGGATGTTCCTCTGTGGGCCTCGACAGACGACTCATTGAGTCATCTTTGAGGCAAGGAAGAGGAGGGGCAGCCGCACGCGCGGCACCCCTTCCTCTTCCTGAGGTCGTCCTCGGAGCCGCCAGCCCTCCGCATGGCCGGCGCTCCGGGGACAACCTCCCGCCGCAGCGTCCACACGCACTGCGGTGGAAAAGGCAGGGAAAATGCGCCCTACGCTTTTAGGGCGCACTTTCCCTGTCTTGTGGAAGGAGCGCTGATTTAGCGCTTCTTCCAGGGACGCCGCAAGAGTGCCGCGGTACGGAGGCTGCGCTCCCGTGGCGCTCTGTCCGGTGGTGTCTCCGGCGCCTCCGTCTGCTTCCCCCATGTGTCCCAACAATGGGGACAGTAAGACGTTCTTGGCTGTGGAAACTCAACTGTGGAATATGGACACCAACATTGGTTTATTTCCAGAACAAAACCAAACCATTGTTTTTTATTAAAGTCTTTGGGGACTAATTCATTTCAAAGCATACATGAACATAAATGTAAATTTCTGTAGCCTTTAATGTGGCTTTGCTATTGCTTTGTTTATTTTTTTTTAAAAAAAACTTGTTTATATTATTTATGGTTTCAATCTGAAAGTATTTTAAATCATTTATTTTGTCTGCCACTCTGAGATTCCATGATAAAAGGTGAGATACAAGAGTGTAAATAAATAAATAAATAAATAAATGGAAACACAGTTACATGATAGTAAATTGCTTTATCTATAACAAGGTGAAGCATGAAATCAACTTCAAGAGGTCTAAATATGTATTGAATAACCACAGGTCTCATATCATTCAATGTAACAACAACAACAACAACAACAACAATAATAATATAAATTTTGTATTCCGCCCTTCTGTCCAACTCCAAAGATCCTGAAACCCTCCCTCCCCTTAAAAAGAAATTAAACCAATATCAACATTAAAACCTATTAATTAAAACATCAAAACATCACTCCTTAAAAATAAACAAAACAGCCACAAACCAAGTAGTAAATGCAGCCAAGGTGGGAGAGGAAGGGATGAGGAGACTCCTGAGGCCGGGAAATCTAATCAGGGAAGGCCTGCCAGAAGAGATCCATCTTAACAGCCTTTTTAAAGCTGTTTAAGGTTGTAATCTAATGGATCTCGTCTGGCAGGCTATTCCATAGTCTGGGAGTGGTCACCGAAAAGGCCCTCTGGGCAGTTGCAGGCAGCCTTGCTTTTATCTGTTGCAGCAAACTTAACCTCTTGGATCAGCATTCCCAGAGTCTGCCAGTTAGGGCCTCAGCAGACAGCTAATTGAGCCGTCTCCGAGGCCAGGAAGAGGAGGAGCCACACGCGCGGCGCTCCTTCCTCTCCCTGAGGTCGTCCTCGGAGCCGCTGGCCCTCCACACGGCCGGCGCTCCGGGGGCAACCTCCCGCCGCAGCGACCGGACGTGCTGCGGCAGAAAAGACAGGGAAAGTGCGCCCGATGCTTTTAGGGCACACTTTCCCTGTCTTGAGGAAGGAGCGCTGATTTAGCGCTCCTTCCAGGGATGCCGCCGGTGCGCCGAGGTGCGGAGGCTGCGGTCCCGCGGCGCGCTGGCCCAAAGTGTCTGGGAAGCTCTCGTCTGCTTCCCCCCTTAGTATGGTTGTGGCTGTACTGGCTGGCGAATTCTGAGAGTTGTAGTCTAAAAAGTAACTTTTTTCATTTGATAAAGTACAGGTAAGCATTTTGCTCCGAGATGTCAGAAAATAAGCTTTGTGCAGAGAATATCTCTTTGTGCAGGTGTAAGAGTTGTACAAGAGCTGAAAATAGTTTTCAGTTTCACATAAATACAATGTGAACAAGCACAATGGGCAAGCATTGATGTGACATCAGTTACAGTACATTGGGCAAGGCTTTAATCAGTTTTTCCCCATCCCATAACACAGACACACACAGACACAGAATTCTGTGTGGCAGACTTCAAAGGAAATACTAATTTAGGTAACATTATAGAAGAAAACTGTACTTTACTAAAATTGTAGTTTAGTCAGCACTTGATAACATGAATGCACATCTGGTAATTTCAATTAGATTTACATGACTGTAACTGAACACAGCATTACAATCTCCAAACCATTACAGTCTCCAAACTCATTCCTTGATTGGGTTTTTGTGGGCTTTCTGTGTTGTGAAGCCATGTTCTAGAAGAATTTCTTCTTGATGTTTTGCCTGCATCTGTGGCATGGAGAATGGTGGCATGGAAGTTTTCTGAAGATGCCAGCCACAGATGTAGGCAAAACATCAGGAAGAAATTCCTCTAGAACATGGCCTCACAGCTCAAAAAGCCCTCAAAAACCTATGGATGCTGGCTGTGAAAGCCTTCAAATTCTTTGATTAGTCCCATAGATTTAATTAGGGCCAATGTAGAGACAGTCATTAAAAGTTAACAGAACTGTATTTTTTAAAATAGCCAGTGTGGTGTAGTGGGTTGAGCACTGGAGTACAACTCCAGCAACCAGGGTTCAAATCTCTGCTTGGACATGGAAACCTAGTGAGTGACCTTGGGCAAGTTACATCTCTCAGCCTCAGAGGATGGGAAAGGCACTCACCCCCACACACCCTGAACACATCATGTCAAGAAAACCTCATGATTGGTTCACCTTAGGGTCAGCATAAGTCAGAAATGTCTTAAAGACACACAATGGCAACAACATTATACTTGTATAGGCTTGTTTGCACAGCTAGGAAGAGCTACACTATCACTCATGGGCTGGCATTCTGTTACTGACATACACAAATGTAACTCTACCTTAGAGGGTAGTATTCTCTTTCATTATTTTGCAATAAGAAAAGTCCCCACTCCAGCACTCACAGCAGCACTCACAGTTTTGCTGTGATAGCCCTCCTGAACGACCATTCTGTAGTTGCAAGCATAGTTGAACAACAAATCACTGCCAAATACAGAAGGGCCTTGGTATCTGCTGGGGTTTGGTTCCTGGATCACCCATAGATACCAAAATCTGTGGGTGCTCAAGTGCCATTTAAATACAATGACACTGGAAAATTGTGCCCCTTATACAAAATGGCAGGATCAAGGTTTGCTTCTTGGAATTTATATTTCTTTGATTATTTTCAAACCATGGGTGGTTGAATCTGTGGACAAAGAATCTGTGGGTACAGAGGGCTGACTGTAAATATAACAATAGTGTCAAGGGTATCTAATTGCCCTGATATTTGATGACATGCCAACAAGATATTTAAGGCTCTATTCATGCTAAATCTATTTTCAGTTATTTTCAGGACTCTTCTTTGCCACTCCTCTCTGATTTGTGGTTATCAAATACAAAGTTTGGACATTAACATAAACATTGCCATGACTATTATGACTTTGAATGTGGTAGCTCTAAATATTGTGTTGCATCCATACTATTATCTAATGTTTTCAACCAAGAAATGTATCACCTTCTTACACTTCTTTTTCCATTTATTTTGCCAAGAATAAGATTGGAGACCAGGGTTCAAATACCCACTTGGCCCTGGAAATGCACTATGTGACCTTTGGCAAGTCATGCTCTCTCAGCCTCAGAGGAATAAAAAGACTGATCAAATCTTGCCAGGAAAACTGCACAATAGGTTCACTTTAGAGTGACAACAACTGAGCTGTAACAATTTGCATTTACATTTTTCAATATATGTCTGAAATATTCTAGCTTTCTGTGTTTTGTGTTTGCTTGGTCTTTATATATTCTCCTTCACACTTCTTTATTATTGGTCCAAGAAATCCTTAACTTCCAACAATGAGACAACAGTTCAGTAATCTATGTTAAAGAGGAGGAGCCTATAATACAAATATAGGGGCTATGCAGATGGGCAAAAAGGGGTGCTTTGAAGGTGACTTGTATGTGTGGCCTTTAGACGACACACACCTAAAAGTCTCCAGGAAAGTGCCCTCTAGCCATCATATGTCAAGAAAAGCTGCCTCAAAAGGTGAAGATGCACACCTTTGCATGTATGTATGTATGCAGTGACACTGATGCACCAAAAAATAGCTGTATAAATGCACTGTCGCACATGCAGCAGAAATTGACTTGGCGATCCAGAGCATGCGCCCCATGATGCAAGCTTTAATTTAAAGCACCGTATGCTTCCAAGTGTGGATGCACTGGAACAGGTATGCTTGAATATTAGAACCCTAACCCTAATTGTAACCCAACGCATGTGTCCTAGCAACTGTCCTTTGTTATGACAATAAATGCATTCTGTTGGATGTACTCTTGCTGTCAGTATGCACAGCAGTTTGCATAAAAGAGGCTTTTGTGACCTCTTCTGTGCAGGTGTGCAGGTGTGCATAAGACCTGCACACCACTTCCTAGTATGATGGGGGGACTCCTGGAGTAACATTTGTCTGTGTGTCCTGTTGACCATGTCCCTTGCATGACCACCAGCTGCATGTATCAAGTCTGTCCACACAAACCTCCCTTGAATGTACATCTCCCCTCCCCTCTGATCTGTGTGAGATATGTTTTGTGGAGGACAATGGATCAGTTGACAAACCCATTCCTTCACCCCAAGGGTGGCACAATCAGACAATGGCACTTGTCTACTGCACCCACTCCTTAGGGGGAAGCAGAGGTCAGTGAATCCTTGCATGATATGTGGATGTATGAGACAACCTGTGCAGGTGCACAGGGATGCTGACTTCAGTCACCTTTGTACACAGTGACAGACTATCTGCCTCGGCAGACGGCTAATTGAGCCGTCTTCCGGGCA